GCATATATGCAGTGGTACAAAGTCCGTTGTCCCTTGTTCTCGTCAGTGTACGGGCCGGGCAGGCGCCCCTCCATCCTCCCCGGCATCTCAAGTGGGATCTTGTCGTCGCCGATTGGCAGCTTACCCTCCTCGAACATCGCGAAGAACTTCTCCATCAGCGGCCAAACCGTGCGGGTGGATGTGGCGAGGTTCAGATACCCCCGTCGTTTGTTACTCCAATCTTTGCTGTATTCGTTGTCGAGTGCCTGTTTCACGAACGCCTTGTCGCACGCCTTGTCGCACGCCTTCCCCATGCAGGCCCTCAGGAAGTTCTGGCACGTTTTCTAATGCGCAACGGCGATGACATCCTTCTCGCTGACCTTAGCTTTGGGTGCCTCGATCCTGTTGTTGTCGATCCACCATTGCCGCATATCACGCACAGCTTCCTGGAAGGATAACATCATGGCGCGATTCTCCCGTGTGTTGTCGAAGAGGGAGACATTGAAGTACCGGTGTGTGTGGTCATCATCGAAAAAGACGACTCCCACTTTAGAGTACGTGCGGAGGCCGTAGACTTTGACCGCGGGGGAGCCCTTTCCAACCAACCGTTTCATGGCCTCGGCAGTATGCTGACCGCAGACAGCGTACCAGTCGAACTCTGCAAAATTTCTTTGGAAGAACTCGTCCGGCGTGATTCGCCTTCCCTGCCCCCCGACGATGACGTTGGGGTCAACCGGTGCAAGAACGAGCTCAAGTCTATCCCACACCCCCGGGTCAGCACTGATGGAGTTTTCTATGACACTCTCGATGCCTCTCACAATGTTCTTAGACAACGAACGGTGGTTAAATAGGATCTTCCCACGGGGAATGGGTTTGATCCTATTAACGTCGACGTTAACAACTTGGACGTCTTGCCTGGCGAAGCCCTGTTCGTCGTATTCGAGGAAGAAACATCGTGTCATGTCCACGGACGCGGCGTGCTGAACCAGCTCTTCAATGTCTTCGGGCATGCGAGGCCCCACCCCCTCGCCCTCATCCCCCGAGTCCCGCAGCTCAGGTGCCCTGGACCTCTGCGAGCCTTTCCTACCGCCGCCGCGACCGCCCCCGCGGCTGCCACTTCGCCTCCCCCCAGCAATTTTCCGAGGAGCCCGCGCTTCCTGTGATGCCGTCAACGCTCCGCGAGCTTCATTGACGGCGTCGGCCCGCGCCTGTTTTGTTCGACTCGCATGAGAGGTCGACGCCTCTCCCCTCTTTCGCTTTCTCCGTGAGCCAGGTTCATCTCTCCCATCATTCGTCTGGTCATAGGACTGCGACATTCCGCGGGAGGCTGCAGGCTGGCCACCAGCATCGACCGCGTCACCGACGTGGCAGGCGTCGTCCTCACGGCGCCCCTGCGATTCGTTGTGGTGGCGACGGTGAAATTGGGAGGAGCGATTGTCTTCGACTTCCTCACCAACATCGTCTCTTTCCTCGTCCATGCCATCGTCCTCACCTTCAACATCTCCTTCGTTACCATCGTCCCCCTCACCACCGCCCTCCTCCTCCTCACCACCGCCCTCCCGCTCCTCACCACCGCCCTCCCCATCCCAACCACCGCCCTCCCCATCTTGGCCCTCGCATTCCTCATCATCGAAGGCACCTGCACCTCCCCGTGAACGATGCCGGGGACCAGCCCGATAGCGCACAGCTCCGTCGTCGTAGTCTGTGGCCTCGCTGGACAACTCGGCCGCATCGCGACCTTGCCAATCCGAGGGCAGAACCGCAGCCGACGAAAACGGGGCAGTCGACAATTGCTTCCTCTTTCCACCCGCTCTGGATGGCTGATCTTGGCGCCGTTTGGGCCCCGCAGCCGACGAAGATGGGGCGTCAATTGGCACGAAAACACGGTCAACTTGCTGAGCAACAGGTAGCCTCGAGAACTCTTCCCTGTATCGCATAACGAAAGCTGCGAGTTGGTCCGCCGGGCTGTTGAATTGGACCAAAGGTCTGCTGAGCATGAAAGCGCTGTCGACGACAGGCAAGGAACCAGTCACGCGGTAGCCATTGGTTTTGGAAAGAAACTTTTCCGGATCCAGCATTTGGAACTCTGTTCGGTTCCCGCGCACGTCAAACGCTTTCATCAACAAAGCCTTGACCCCGTATCCTTGGAAGAGCCGATGGTCAAGAGACACCTTCTTATCTTCCTTGACCCAGTTTTTCCCCTCTCTATCATAGACAGACGTACGGTAGAAGGTCCTGAACTTCCTGCCGTCGTAGGTAAACCTCCCCGCTTCCGATTTCTCCACCCCTTCGCAGCAGTACCAACTCAGGCCATTGTCATCGCTAAAAAGACAACGGCTCCGCAACCCGGCATATGAAGGCCACCTACCCAATCAAGAGCCCATGGTTTGTCGTGGTAGAGCTTAGACCTGCCGTACCGTTTTTTGGGGGCGGAGGCAGGCGCTGTTTTTCCTGAAGGGTAGCACAGAAAAAAACAACAAGAAAACAACACTAAGTGATATGAAGAAGCATCCATCGCGGCACGGGAGTTTCGCTACCGCCCCACGTAGCGGGTCTGGCGTTCCTAGAACGCCGTACCCCACGACCGTTGTGTGTGCGGGTCCGGCGTCCCCAAAATAGCAGACCCCACCAGCGTGCCTGTCGGCATGGTGGTCGGTCGAACCCCTCCCTCGCCCGCCTCATCGACGAAACCCTGCGGCGTTTCATGTCCTTCCCTCCCCCTACCTCTAGCAGCACCGAGCGGGGTCCGGCGTTCCCGGAACGCCGAACCCATGTCGGTGCTGCGAGAGAGGGGGCCCCTCCCTCCCCGTCGCTGACAACAGCACCAAGGGGGTCCGGAAATGCCGGACCCCCTTTGAGGTGCAGGGGAAGAAGTGGGTCCGTCCCCTCCCCTTGATGGCCACAGCACAAAGGGGGTCCGGCATTCCCGGAACGCCGAACCCCCTTTGTGCGGCGGGGGAGGACGGGAACGCTGGGCCCCCTTTGTGCCGCTGGGGAGGACGGGGGTTCGATGTCCGATCCGACGACGGGCATAGCACGAAGGGGGTCCGGTGTTCCCAGAACGCTGGACCCCCTTTGTGCTGTGGGGGATGAAGGGGGTCCGTCCCATCCCCTCGATGGCCACAACACCAAGCCTGCGCACCCCTCGCTCCCCCGAAGCGCGAAGGGGGTC